AATGGCCCTCAAAAATTAAAATTTTAGAAAAAGAAAGAAATAGTACAATCGTAACAATATTAAAAATAATTAAAATAAAATAATTAAGCCTACATACATGGTAAAATATTTATAAAATGTGATTATGTACAAATTTTAAAAAAATTTACAGGAATAGAAAGTTCTTTCGGCTTTAGAAAGTGTCAGAACAAATTTGACTGTCTTATTTTCAAAACATTTTTTATCAAAGAACTGAAACCAACACTACACAAACACTGTGATTCAATCCATCCTAAATTACTTGTTTAGATCAGTGCTGCCGCTGCTCTAAGGGAGTTAACTGAGTTTATTTTTTAGAAACCTGGTTACATCCCAGATAACTTAACTCTGTTAAAGGTTGGTTATGATGAAACAAGGGGTTATATTTTATGAGTGGCCACACTGATCAATGCTGATATAGGTTATGAAGTGGCTGGACTCAATTGACATTATGAGATAAACCAACAAAATTACAGACTTCAAAATTAGTTTCTTGATTCTTTTCCTTTGTTTCCATTTCCTTCAGTTTCTCTACACTCTAAGGTAGCAGTCCCTCTTCTTTGACTTCCTTTTTCCTCAACTATATGTATACTTTGCGTATTCAAAGCACTTGCGATTTTGAATTTGACCCGGGCACATCAATAGTGACTGACAAATGAGCCTTGGTCTTCCCAGGGAAGACTTCCTTGTATTGCACACCTTTGTGTTTAATAGTCTTGTTGATAATCTTATCATCATCATTGTGTTAAATGTTTGGTCTTACACCTGTAGATAACAATGGTGCTGTAAGCTTGGCAATGAAAGACCAGCCCTTAGTCCTGGAGTAAGTTCTGCAATAGTCAGATGAAATCATTTGGAATGTATTATGTTCTAAATAGCCTCACACACAAATGACATCACAAAAATGTAACCCCCAGTGTGACTCAGACAAACAAGCCATTCAGTGCGCTACTTCTTTTAAAGCAATGTATGGAACAACATCGCTTGTGAGCACTTTGAACAGTGTGCTACACAAGTGAATGGCCTCTACCTCAAAATGTTAGAGAAAACCCAGAACATGTACCTTTATAGAATAATAATAAATTATAATAGTAATAATGAAGAATTTTTTAAAAATAAAATATGTCAATGCAGAATATTCACAGAACAAAACAATGTGCTACGAAATGAGAGCTGAGAGCTGAGAGTCACTCTGCCAAAATTCTACTGTTCATCCAATAAAATAATTAAACATAATGATACAACAATTGAAGAAAAGGAATTTGATACACCCTGTTCATTAACAATTCCACAAGTTTGCACTGCAGAAATAATTTTTGAGTAAATACGACCTAAAAGCTAAAAAAAGTACATGCTCCAATTAAACTCACTTCCATCATTGTTGAAGAAAACAAAGCTAAAATCTAAAATGAATAAAACCAGTATTAAAAATCAGAGTTTCGTCCAAAAAAAGAAAGGAACTAATAGGTCGCTCCCTCTGCAGTTTTGACGAAAAAATCCGCATTCTTGACGTAATAACAATAGTGATAATAATAATTTAATAATAGTAATATAATAATAATAATAATAATAATAACAATAATACTGAGTTTGAAGGGGGGCAGCAAAATATGATGAGCTTCTTATGAATAAAGGCTGTTTATAAATACACTCCTTACATGTATGTCCATAGGAGAAAAAATTATTATCATTGTACCCTGCATTCAGCTGAGTCACTCACAAGAAAACCAGCAAACCACCAAGAAAGAAATACCATAAAGAAATACCGTAAATCCGATCCGATTTGTTGCCTCAAGGTAATGAAACAGTATTACTGGCCTGCTCTGTCAGTCACAACCCACTGCAGTGAAATATCCCAACTTCCATTTTCTAAAGGTTTTGGGATCCATCAGACTGTCAGTGT